TATATGTATGTATATATGTATGTATATATGTTTAAAGCAGTGTTTCTCAACCTTGGCAACTTGAAGATGTCTGGACTTCAACTCTCAGAATTCCCCAGCCAGCATTCGCTGGCTGGGGAATTCTGGGAGTTGAAGTCCGGACATCTTCAAGTTGCCAAGGTTGAGAAACACTGCACTAAGGAGTGAAGTTTGCAAACAGCATTCTGTACTGACACTGATGATGTTACCTGGTTTGGGTAATGAAACGTCTGCGAGAAAAAAAGCAAGCTCAGAGAGAACCAAGGACCCCTCAAGATCAAGTCCATGGTTATTTTCAAGGAATGTCTTCAAGAAAACAACCCAGGTCAGAGAGCATCAAGGACCCCTCATATCAACCCTGAGCTACAAACGTTCTCCTTTATTAGGACTTGATCCTGGTTCAGGAACTCTCTTGCTAGACCAAAGCAAATGAAGTGGACTTGGTAGCTAAGCAAACTGCAGCAACATACGGAGCACAACCACAAATCTGGCTGCAGGAAACGATTGCCCTGCCTATTAAAAGAAGCCTTTATGAAAGGCTGCATTCCACCTCCAATGTGGCTTGAGAGAATTTTGCCATTTCTGCCTTTTGTAAGAGATTAAAGGCATCCTCCTCCAGTGATCCGACAATAAGAAGTAATTAACTCCCCTAGCCACTGTTTAATCACACAGCATTTTGCATGCAGTAGCTGCTTGGCCCACAGAATGACAACTTCGGTTGAAGGCAAACATTCAAGGAGATAATGGAATGTCACCAGCCTGGTCAGCAATCCCTTTGGCAGACTCAGCATTCCGCAGGATTAGGTCCTTAGCAGAGATGGAGTGGAAGCAATCCGAGGAGAGGGAGGAGGGACAGCTTTCCACAGCTCCTCCATCATTTCATTTCAGCTTTCTCCCCCTCCCCTCCTCTCTCATTTGCCCACAAGACAGCTGTGCCTGCCTTTGATGTGTATCTAATGCTTGCTTCTTCTTTCTCCTTTACACTCCTTCACTCTCATTTATACCTGATTGCTCTGGACAAAGAGAACAGCAAAAGACTATTCAACACGCCTGTAAACGAAGAATAATCCTGGCGAGCAAAGGAGCTCCGTTCAATATACAAACCACACTGCAATTTCCCCTCCTTTGTTTGAAAACCATCTCAACACCAGTAATTGGTTTGCCAATGACTAGATTGTCCCCCTCTTCCTTGTAAAGGAGATGGATGGCTGCCTCTGAGGGTTTGAGGCATTGTGTTGGGTCTCTCAGTGAAAGGAGGTCGAGTGTTGGGTCATTGTGCAGTTTCTTGGTCTCTCACTGTAGTAGCCTGAGAAACCAAAGTGTCAAAACAGTATGAATATTCCCCTTTGGGTTGAAGAATGGGCCCATCTCATCTGTCATTCTGTTTGCAGTCATCTTATTTTCTTGTTAGAAGTTGTGTCCCACCCATCACGACCCCATGGACAACGTTCCTCCAGGCCTTCCTGTCCTCTACCATCCTCTGGAGTCCATTTAAGCTCACNTTTTTTTTTACAATCTATGACCTTTCCTTAGTACTGATTTATGACATTTAGATGACTATAGAAGATGCTTTGAGTCATTAGTGCAGATGCTGCCCTAAAGTGCATGTCAACTAGTATCTGGAATAATTTTGTTATGCTTCTTTCTTTCCTGTCACTGCTTTCACTCCTAGCAGCAGACCTCATCACTGTAGACCATGAACAATGCATGAGCTGACCACACTTCTTCTGCTAGTGGAAGAACAAAAGAATCAACACATAACCACCTTCATCCAGCAATGGCCAGTTTTGTTGGCACAATCAGGTAAGATGCCAAGCCACATAAATGTATTAAAGTATTAGTTCATATATTAATGTATTAGGAAAGTGAGAGTATACATTTACAATGGCTTTACAATGGGGATAGGGAGAATACCGATGTCCAAAGGCAGGAAAATATAACTAGCTAAGCGGAAATAACCCACCTGTATGCTCTATATATTCATTATCTTTCCTGGTGAAACTCTGCTCAGGTGAAAATAAATTTGTTCAACTGGTGAAAAGACACATCACAAAATTTTGGGTGTACAAGACAAATGCAATGTATGATGCTTCTCTAAATGAGGAATGCAGTTTTCTTTTGCCCCTAAGCTTTCGCCCCAAGTATTCTGTTATTCTCCAAATCCTTCCAGCCACTTTAATCCATCCTACTACTGACTGATTAAGTAACTAGTTAATTTACAGCCACTTTAAAGGCTGAAATTTTCTGGCACCCAGCCAAAGCTAGGTGCAACCTCTTCCTGAGAAATATCAGCATTATCTGCAATGGCCAGGCATCATAAATCTTCCATTAGAGGTATAGTTACCATAGAATAGATTGAATCAGTGTCTTTGAATGCCCATGAATGAAGTACAATAGACACCACACTGCTACATATTGATTCTCCAATAGACCATGTTCTAAACATATCAATCCAGTTTGTCTCCAGAACTAGAGATCAATAAAGCACCTTGTGTATTTGCTTTGCAGCAAAATATCTTGTCAGTTACGAATGTATATGAAATTTGTTTTTAAGGCTATTTTTAGTAAAGAAATACTGATTTCCTTAGCTAGCATAGTCAAGAATGCTGATTTTCAGTAACTGTGGTCAGAGAAGAGAATAAAAGGAATCAAAGCGTGTTAAAAGAATGCAAATAGGCATCAAGTCACAAAAAATCCAGCCATTATGACTACCAGTTATTTCTAACCTTCTATCATATTTATATGTGTGATTTAACAATGCAATTCTATGCATATCTACTCAGAAGTAGACAAAAAAAGTACTAGCTTTAAAATCTGAAACTGAATATGTGTGATCAATTTGATCAGGAGTTCACAACTTTTGAGAGCCAGAGATACATTTGGAATTTTGAGGGCATGTTTTGCTCAAGACTCATTTATGGAAGGCCTGCCTAATCCTAAATTGGCTTTCTTGGTAGGCAATTAGTAGGGTGTAGATCAGGGGTGGGTTTCTCGCCCCGTTCCAACCGGTTCGGTTGGAACGGGGCCAGCGGTGTCCTCGTGCACGTGCACAGTGCACGCATGCGTACTAGTGTTTGTGCGATGCTCCAGCTGCTCCTGGAGGATCGCGCAGGCGCTGTATGCGTCCTGCGCATGCGTGGAAGCGCAGAACTTGTCAAAACCGGGTAAGAAACGCGGGCAGGCGGGTGGACCCTTCGGCGTTCCCGGAAGTTACTTACTTCCGGGTTCGCCGACCAACCAGTTCGCGGGGACTGCCGCGAACTGCCTGAAACCCACCCCTGGTATAGATGTTAGACATACTTTATCCAGATTAGGTGACCAGACTCTTTGAGACACACAGGGGTGATATAATTGTCCTATTGAGAGGCTTCATATCATTCCATCTCCTACAGTGATTCTAAGAGCTAAAAAAAAAGGCTTTCAGATCAACACAAACTGTGATGTGAACCTAGATGCTTTGCTTTTACAAAGGGGAGAGGGGCATCTTTGATTGGTACTCTGCACAAATGTTTTTTGCAATAAAAATCCTTTGAAGATGTATACTCTCCTAAAAGCCAGTCATAAAACATTCATTCATCAGAACTGTACTTATCTGCAAGGCTCATGCTAGTATGAATTTTCCATATCCCCAAACCATTATTGCACATAAATATATTGCTAGAGACTGGTGCTATGCGTTGCACTGTGTCAGCTTGCTATTTTTTTTTAAACAATGAATCTTTTTTTTTAAAAAAAAAGATGGATCTGGAAGCATGACAAAGGAGGAGGTATCTCACAATGAAAAAGTGCTTCATAAAACAACATGGAAGATCTTACTATTAGCTAATCATCCTCTTAAATATAATTAATATAATTAATACAATTTAGCCTAAAAATCTGTTTCTCTGAGAAAGGTTATGATTGTAGATAAGAAGATAACAATGTTATAGCAGACAAACAAGCAGGATTTAGACTAGGAAGATCTACTACAGACAAGACAATGATATTGGAATTCTTAATACAGAAATATCTTTATGCACCCTGTATGCAGTTTTTATTGACCTTAGGCTTGCCTGTCTTTCAGTATCTAGATTAGTTGTTCCCAACCTGTGGGTCAGGACCCCTTTGGGAGTCGAACGAGCCGAGGTGGCGCAGTGGTTAGGGTGCAGTACTGCAGCCACTTCAGCTGACTGCTAGTTCTGCAGTTCGGCGGTTCAAATCTCACCGGCTCAGNAGTATATGTATATACATATTTAGATTCATACAGTCTATTGCCACCCAATTTCCAGAACTCTGGGCACTGATATTGTCACATAATTAAACTTTTCATATTAAGCTTCAGGTCAAGCAGGATGTATCTCAATCTAAATAAGTGGTTCCCAACCTTTTTTTGGCCATGCCCCACCTAAGCATCTCTAAAATCCTATTGCCCTCCCCCCTGCCCGTGACATATAATTCTTACTTTACTGAAAAAGTGCACTCTACTCACACGGAGAAAGCCTAAAAGGCCATTAACTTGGTTTAAACAAGGTTCAAATTGCCCCCATTTAAAATCAAATGGCCCCCCTGTGGGGCATGGGAAGCACTGATCTAAATGGTGTATCTATGCCCATCACCCCACAAACAAGAATAAAGTAGTGACTAAAAAGGTAGGGACAAGTACACGGATTTGAGGTGTTGTTTCAAAGTCTGATCTTTAGACCCTCACTTCCCATTTGTAGCTAGCAACAGTACTATTTAGGATTAATTATAGCGTACAATTGATCACATAAGCTTTTACAGTTTCATTATAAGTATTTTAATATATGGAATTACACTATAAAATTTTGAAGTAGAGTTTTAGAATTACAACTTTTGAATGTTGAAAATAATGATCTTGTAGATTAATGCCAGGAAGATAGATGTATTTATATGTATTACTCCACTACGACTTTTGTCTTCACTTGCTTTTTTTGAATTTTAGATTTGGAAAGAAATCTCGCCCTGCAATGTATGATGCAACTCCAATTGCTTATGAAGATTACAGCCCTGATGACAAGCCTTTGGTTACACTGATTAAAACAAAAGATTTGTAAACTATTTAACAGTCGTTTTGGGGAGGGGATTATTTTTCAAAAGAATGGGCTACTGAATTAATTCAATATTTTTAAGATGAAGCAAGTGTATGAAAATTAAAATGTTTAGCTGCTCCAGAATTTTCTGTAGATTATTTAAGAACAGGTTTTCTGCAGCTTTTTGTTTGAAGGAAATATTTTAAACTGAATTTGTGAAATTTATTATTTCTCTTTTAATGTACTTCAGCATTAGAAACTCTAATCTTAACAAGTAGTGTGTTGTTGCTTTTACCAATCTCAGATGAGTACAGGCAGAATATGATATGTTAAGCAATGAAAATTTCTCCTTAATGTAACAGTGGCAGCATTCTTAGTAGACTTAGGAAAAATGTAAAACTTGATATATTCATTATTGGAAAAAATGAAGTCCGAAATGTTTGTGTTTGTGAAAAGGAATTTAGTAAAAATTATTATTCTTAAACTGAATGAATTAGCTTTCTCCCTCTTTTGTGCATGGATAATCTTTCTGTATTATGTTCCTGAAGCCTGCTAAAATTTGGCCTTGAGTTGGTGTTTGTCATTATTGTAAAGGTATTCAAGGTAAGCTTTGTAAAAATTAATATATCATTGAAGTGCCTATTAAGGCAAAAAAGGGGTTGTTCCTGTTGCTTTGAAATTAATTTTGGTTGATTTCATAATGTTGAGGATTAGATCTTTGTATTGGAATCATGTTTTCTTTAAAAAGTCCAGGTTTTTTTAACAGTGCAAGTAAACAAAACATATAATTTGAACAGTTTGTCTCTCAAATGTTAACGTAAAGTATTACTTTTGTTTACAATATTGTGTAATTCTCATAGTACATCTTATTTACACATGTGGGATTTTGTGGCTCTATTTGACTGCTTATGTGTTTCAAGATTTTTGCTCATTTCAAAGATTATTGAATAAATGTGACCAATTCAAGTGGCATCTCATTTGTTTTGCCTTCAGCTGTTACGGCTAGTGAGTGCCCTTGAATGTAAGCCATATGCCTTATAATTATAATGTAAACCAGTCATGGTGTCTTGAGAACCAGTACCATTTTATTTATATATTTTGAACATTTTAAAATGTAACATATTTTTGGTTTGTATAATGTGGAGTTGGCTCATATTGTTTGTAATATGAGCAACTTCCATTTAGCACAAGTGTGGATTTTGAACACAATATAATCATGTGATAGGGACTGTTTTCCTTCATCTCAAAACAAAACCTACAGATGCACAACTTTCATTTTCTACTATATTTTTCTTTGCTTTCTTTCTACATATATATTTCCTGCTGAATGGTGGTTTTTTTTTCTGTGCTTCAAAATATGCAATATTTATTAACTAAGTAAGCCCAAGGTAGTTATATTTTATTAAGAGAGTAATATCTTTAGTAAGGTCTTTAAGTAGTTGTCATATACCCATTATTTTAAGGGATCTGAAGTAGTCAGGATGAATGGACCAGATACCCAGAATGTAATGGTTATTGTAGACAGTAGTCTACAATGACCATTACAGCACTCTATTCTTTGGTATGCTTAATTTGATAGATGAGTTGAAAGCACTTAGAGAGCAATGCATTAGGGATACAATAGTGGGAAAAGACCTAAAGTTTACATCTCATAGGGAGACCAAATGGCAGTGGGGAGGAAAAGTAAGGCCAGCAGATAGGAAAGAGAAAGAGAGAGAGAGAGAAAGAAAGAGTAATTGAATATAAACAATCAAAAGTTCTTGTCTGTGTGTACTGATTAATACAGGATAACTCATAGGATGTTGTTTCACTACCGTGTTTCCCCGAAAATATGATAGGGTCTTATTTTCTTTTTACCTACAAAATATGGCTTGGACTTTATTATGGGGGAAGGGTTTATTGTTTTGAACCGCTTGGGTGCACGCTCTATGGTTGTACGCTCTGCAGACAGCTGGCCCACAACCATAGAGCATGCGCCCAGAGCAGCCACTGCCGAAAGACTCGAGTTGGAAGCTGCGGAAAAAGCCAGGGTGGGATGGCGGTGGCGACGGATGTGCCCTGGCTCCTTAATGAGAACTGGGCCATGCATCATGAAGCGGGGAGGTGGGTATGCGAAAGGGAACAGCTGCACAACCCCCCTCTCCAGCCCTGTAGAGCACCATTAACTGGCATTTGGAAGGCGCCAAGCCGCGGGATCTGGGCGGCGGTGAACAGGTACTCACACGGCTTGGTAATACCCCTAGGTCAGTGAATGGTGCTATGCCCGGATGCAAAGGAGGTTTGCTGGGTGGCTGCTCGTGAGCGTGGTCACTTCATGGCTGTTGTGTTGTGCTGCTGCAACAGCNAGCCTTCCCCTGATTGCCTTCCCCCAATGCCCCCCAACCCTTTCAAAAGCCACCCCATTGCCAGCCTCTCCCAACCGGATCCCCACCTGCCTCCTCGCTGCGCTGCCGCCTTTCTCCCTGCAGAAAAATGGCCTGCGTCAGCGCGCACACGTGCAGGAGAGGAGGGAGGGAAACCACTGCCCTCTAAAGGCCACATTGGGAACGACACTTCAGAGAAATAAAAACATTTTTTTTACGGCGTCCTTTTTAAAATTGATTTCCTTTCTTTTGGAAAATCGGGATTTTTTGAACACGCTGCAGGACACGGGACAAATTATTAAAAATCGTGACTGTCCCGCCAAAATCGGGACGTCTGGTCACCTTACCAATGGGCCAACTGGAAGTTCGTAAACCTAAGCAGGAATTTGTACCATAAGTTTTATAACCTATTAATTTTTTAAAAGGAAGAACCTTTGTAAAACTAAGCATTTTTACTATATTTTTCTTTTTTAAAAATTGAACAGAAAAAAATCATTCCATATTGTGTTCCTCACTGAGAAAAACTGTTTGGGACTGACATTTTTAGTCAAGTGCCACATACCATTGATTATAATTATACATGTCCTAAAGTTATGATAATTTTTGCTAGAAGTAAGGGAAGTAAGTATCAAAGCCCATCCTCCCTGCTTGTTTCAAAGAAATAGTTTTGAATATGACATTTGGACAAGAAAGGCATTTTAGCTTCTCTGCTCCCCCTATATTAAAAAAATCAAATTCTACTGTGTTTACCTATTTTACTTGACTCAATGAAGGTATCAATTTAAAACCTTACATTTTTAAAATATGGGTAAACTCTCCAGTTGTTAATTAATGAAGTGTAAAAAAAAGCTTTCAAGCTATTCCCACCAATTAAAACTAATTTCAAATTTCAAACTGAATTCTTCAGATGGCATGCATTTAAATAAAAAGCTTTTGACATATAAGGAAGTTTCCTGATGGTACATTTTTAACTGCTGGTTCATTATTCTTTTTTTAACTTAAATTAACATCTCCAAGGTAATTCATAGGGTGTTTTTTTTAAAAAAAGGTTTTCACTTTGTGCAGTTGTCATCATAGTTAATTATCTCCTAGCATGCCTGAATATTTAAAGAGATTGCAGAAATGATTTGTAATTATTCACTGAAATACAGATATTTAAAAATATTAAAAAGGTATTCAGTTATTCGAGAAGGGTATTTTAATCCAATTTATATTTAATATTTCTCTAGATAGCAGTTATTGGAGAGATAGCAGGTGTACCTTACCTGCAGTTTTTCCATTGATCTCTGTAACAAAGGAATACTAGACTAGCTGACAAAAGCATCCAATATAAGCTATCTGCGTAACTTCATATATGCAACTGCTTATTAAGCATCTTTATACTCTTCCAAAACAATTATGATTCCAGTTATTCTGTAAACATAAGCTTTTGTGGCTATTTTGTGAAGAAGTGCAAACTAATGTATTCACTTATGAACCTCAAGGCATAGGGCTGATTCAAAATGTGCTGCCTTAGGAAAAGAACATTATAATTTTTCTTTCATTAGTAAAGCCTGACAATTCACTATTTCCTCAATGCTAGGAATAGAAGATCCTCCTCATCCACAGAAAACTTACTGGAAGTTGTTTGCAGGCCATTTGGCACTCAACATTACCTCATAACCATGTGTCACTATCTCCCAACACCTGGAAAAAGGCTTTCCCGTTTTTTTTAGTGCAGCTTATAATGTCTTTCAAAATATTTTGATATTAATTTGAGAGTATTTTTTTATCTTTCTCTGATTCAGCAGCTTCATTGGATGTCACTGATTTGTCATACTCCTATATAGAAAAGTTCTCATGACAATTTTCCTTTGGGACACTTTATTATTTCAAGCATAGGAAGCTTCAGGCTGCTGAAGAGATGGCGGACTCTCTGATGATAATGATAATGAAGTTTCTTTCCAGACAAAAATCTGTACACTAGATAGCAGTGCTTTAGGTAGACAAATAATACATAATTATTACAGGATTTTATTCTGGGTCTTTCTGGGGGGAAGGATGTTATCCTGTTTCCTTCATATATGTGATAAGAAGGTGGTGCAGCAAATGGATGTATAGGTTACAACCAACACCTTTGAACTGGGCCTGGAACTCTATCTGCAGCCAAAGCAGCTCTTGCCAAATGGAAAGCATTTTGCCCATGCAGCTGGCACACATTACTGGGTCATCTTCAAGCTTTTTGTAGTCTAGCTGAGAATGACAACTTATTTATATACTGTTATTCTCTAGTGCAATATCTGATTTGCCGTCATTGCGCTTACATTTTGATGCTGAGTTTGAATCAAATAAATTAAGATTAAATTAGATTAAATTAATTAAATTTCTATTTAGGGATTTTTTAAATTTGCAAACTGCAAGCTAAAATAAATTTCATTTACTGTAACAATGTCATTTGGTAAGCAATTCATTGCATTGTAATATTTGTCCCAATGTAATATTGTATAAATAAGGTGACCAGACGTCCCGATTTCAGCGGGACAGTCACGATTTATAACAATTTGTCCCGTGTCCCGGGGCGTTTTTAAAAANAACGTCATTGTAGGGTTTGATCTCCTTTTGTTCTGGGTACACCAACTGAGATACAAACCCTGCAGGGCCTCCAGCACTGTCTATATTCTGTTTTCTTCCAGGAGACGCACAGTCGGAATCTATTTCTTTGAAGGTGCCAGAAAATGTTGTGGAAGGCTCTGCCAGGGCGACATTTTGTGTGCTTGGTAAGTATAGGAACCCTCCTCCTAGTTCTTCAAACCCCCTTCCCTTCCTTTTTTCTCTCACCTACTTTTTGTGTGTTCCAGACGTTATGCTTCTACCTCTTCTGCCTCACCTGTCTTATTAAATGATAAAATCGAATGTGATCTTACAGATCATTTATAGCCATTCAGTGCAGGTTCTCCAAAGCACCTGAAGGTAGGACAAGAAGCAATGGGTGGAAACTAATCAAGGAGAGAAGCAACCTAAAACTGAGGAGAAATTTCCTGACAGTTAGAACAATTAATCAGTGGAACAACTTGCCTCCAGAAGTTGTGAATGCCCCAACACTGGAAGTCTTTAAGAAGATGTTGGATAGCTATCTGTCTGAAACGATATAAGTTTTCCTGCCAAGGCAGGGGGTTGGACTAGAAGACCTCCAAGGTCCCTTCCAATTTTGCTATTGTATTGTATTGTAAGTGTGGGTCAATCTATTATCCAAAGCATCTGAAGATAGGACAATGGATGGAAACTAATCCAGGAGAGAAACGACCTAGAAATAAGGATAAAATTCCTGACAACACAATTAATCAAAGGAACAGGGCAGCGATGGTGAACCTTTTTTGGCTCACGTGCCATAGGGGAAGAGTGCAGGGGAAGTCATGTGCAGGTGTGCAGCACTCATAATGCAATGTGAGACACCCCCCCCCCCAGTGCACATGCAGTAATCCATATTTTTTTCACCTTCCCCAGGCTCCAGACGGTTTATAGGAGCCTGGGGAGGGCGAGAAGAGCCTCCCCTGCCACCCCAGAGATCCTCTGGAGGGTTCAGGGACCTTCAGGAGGCTTCACTGAAGCTGCCGAAGGACAAAAAATGACCCTCCGAGCAAACCAGAAGTCACTTGCGGTTTCCTTGTAGGATTGGTTTAAGCCCTCCGGAGGCTTCAGGGACCTTCAGGAGGCTTCACTGAAGCCTCCGGAGGACTTAAAAAAAACCCCTATGAGCAAACCAGAAGTCACTTCCTGTTTGCTCATACGGTTGGTTTAAGCCCTTCAGAGGCTTCAGGGAAGTCCCTGAAGGTCCCTGAAGTCTCCGGAGTGCCTCTGGAGGGGCGGGGGAGGCTCTTTTCACCCTCCCCAGGCTCCTATAAAGCCTCTGGAGCCTGGGGAGGGCGAAAAATGTCTTTAAAAAAGACTAAACTCAGCTGGCCAGTGTGTGCAGGCATGCTGGCCAGCTGACAGGGCAACGCCTCGCGTGCCCTGACAAATGGCTCCGTGTGCCACCTGTGGCATGCGTGCCATAGGTTCACCATCCTGGGAATAGGGTCTTCTGCTTGAGCAGGGGTTTGGAATAAAAAACCTCCACGGTTCCTTCCAATGCTATTATTCTGTTCTGTTTTCTATATTATTGTCAAGAAACTAACATGAATTTGAATTTGACTCAAAGGGGACTATCTTTACATACATACCGTATTTTTTGGAGTATAAGACACACCTTTTTCCCTCAAAAAAGAGGGTGAAAATGTGGGTGCATCTTATACACTGAATTCAGCCTTCTGAAACCCTGCCCCCTTTGCAAAAAATCACTGTGCATAGCCTTTAGGAGGCTTCCAGGGTGCTCCTGGGGGCTGGGAGGGGGGAAATGAGTGAAAAATGGGCCCTTTTTTTGTTCATTTTGGCACACACACCAGCCCCCAGGAGCACTCTATAAGCCTCCTAAAGGCTATTCATGCCCCCCCCTTTTTTGACAAAAAACAGGGCCATTTTTACAAAAAACGGGCCATTTTGGGAGGTCTGCAGAGTGTGAAATATTATTTTTTTTTAATTTGCCTCTTCAAAATCTTGGTACGTCTTATACTCTGAAAAATGCAGTATTTAAAGCACATTGAAGATGTTAATGGAAATGCCTTCACAGGTTCTGCTGGTGAGCTGAGTTGAAGGCAACATGAGAGAATTTTTTTTTAAAAAACAACTTTCCTGGCATGTTGTAATGAGAAAATCAAGTTATACTGTTTGTGAAACAGCCGTGTTGGCAGGCTGGAAAAAGGAAAACCATTCCTCCTTCCAGAAAAAAGTGTTTTATTGTAAATGGCTTGCTAATTAGGAAGAGGGCTTCAAGTACAATACTAATGATTCTAATAATAAATCTTAAATTATTTAGATTTTTAGGAAGAGCTTGGAGAACCATTTGTCCGAAACAGTCAAGGGTGCTACAGGTTCGGCTGGGTTCGGGACAACCTGTAACTAACATTATGGCCAGTTCAGAGAACCTCCAAATCCCACCCTTGGCTGGCCCCACCCCATCAACTTGTCTCCACATGGCTCCACATGGCTCGTTTTGGATATGAGGTTCCATATTTTTCAGAGTATAAGACACACCTTTTTCCCTCAAAAAAGAGGCTGAAAATCTGGGTGTGTCTTATACACTGAATACGGCATTTTTTGCCTCCTGAAACCCTGCCCCTTTCACCAAAATGGCCGTGCAGAGCTAGCAGAGTGCTCCTGGGGGCTGGGGAGGGAAGGAATGAGTGAAAAGGGGGCTCTTTTGCTCAATTTCCCCCCCCCAGCCCCCAGGAGCACTCTATAAACCTCCTAAAGGCTATGCATGGAACTTTTTGATGAAAAATGGGCCGTTTTTTGTAGAAAATGGGCCATTTTTTTGCTCATTTGGTGGGGGCACCCCCCAGGAGCACTCTAAAAGCCTCCTAAAGGTTATTCATGCCTTTTTTTTTTTTGAAAAAAAACAACGGCCTGTTTTCACGAAAAACGGCCCATTTTTGGGAGGTCTGCAGAGTGCAAAAACTTTTTTAAAAAATTTGCCTCTACAAAACCTTGGTGCATCTTATATTCCAGGGATTCTTATACTCTGAAAAATATGGTAAGTGCAGGTCCTGTGTGGAGGCTCGGAGGGGGAGGGAAATTGACCACCCGGAGGTTCTGGAAATACGGAAATGGGCCTCCAAAACCTGGGGGAGGCAGTTTTCACCCTCCCAGCGGCTCGAGGAAAACCTTTGGAGCCTGGGGAAGGCGAAAATGTGCCCCCTGCCATGGTGCAAGAGGCCGACTAAGCCACACCCACCATGGCCACAGCCACGCCCACCCAGAAACTGGGCAGAGAACCTGTTGCTGAAATTTGCTGAAAGCGAACGGTATAGGGTTTGAGCAGGGGGTTGGACTAGAAGACCCCCAAGGTCCCTTCCAACTCTGTTCTTCTATTATTCTGAAGAATAAAATGCCGACGATTTGGCGAAACGTATGCAGGAAATGGTAGCTCCAGAATACCCAGACAATGTGGGGGGGGGGGGAATAAATTGTTGCTTGGTGAAAGGGTGAAACCTGTATTGTTCCATTCCTTTGCAATTTGTTCCCTGCCCCCTTTCTCCTTGGCTGAGCTAGCAGCAAATAAATACCTCTTACACAGCAATTGATCTAAGGCACTTAAGGCTGGATGAAGACATGAAATACTGGTGTGAAGCTTTTGTTGTGGAAGGCAACCGAAGGATAAGGAAGGGAAAGTTAAGGAGGAAAACGCCAGAGAAGAAAAGATGTCGAAAAGAACCTTGCAATAAATACTGCCAAGATGGCCCAAAGTAAGCCAGGTAGAATTATCCCTGGCTTGCTAGAGAGATTTTTTTTTTTAATCCTTCTGGGCAGAACTGAAAAGTTGACACAGAGCATCAAGAATCTATGAAGAGGGGATGGAGAAGCTTGCATTATCTTCGTGCACAGATACGTGTAGCTGTTGGAGGATGCTCTTGCTCAGAGGTAGTTGCTTGTTCCTTTACTAAGATCCAAGGGATTGCCAGAGGGATTATAGACTACAGAATAACAGAATTGGAAGGCCTTGGAGGTCTTCTAGTCCAATTCCCTGCTTTAGCAAGAGACCTTATACCAGCAATGGCTAATTTTTTACCTCACCGCATGCCGACCTGCATGCCAGAAATGGCACGCAAAACCCTCCTGCCTGGACATGCTGGCGAATGTATGGCACACACACACACACACACACACACACACACACACACACAGAGGTCAGCTGGCCATCACGCACACAGGAGCATCAAAACCTGGGAGACCACTGATCCGGAACCCACACTTTGTCAGCTTCTGCTTTGCTGTCGCTTCAGCTGCCATGAAACGGGGAGGGAGGGCATGGTATTTGGGAGGGGTTACTCATTGTGCTGGAAGAAGGTTCTGGAGTTCACCGACTGATCGGACTACGCATGCGTGGGTGTTTCCCGCCAGGATTAACGGCACCAACATTCCATCTTCGTGATACCTTTTGAAGGTATCTCACACCTGACACTTGAAAATATAGAAGATCTCAGTATCTTACATAAATGTTGAAGAATAATGGAGT